AAAGGGCTGGAGGGAGGCAGCATGTCTGGCCTTGCAGTAATAGGCCTTGGGTTACTGCTGGTAATCCTGCCTTCCCCTTGTAGGGTTAGAGGAGGTCAGAACATGTGGCCTCCTTGCCGTTTTTGTAGGCATAAACAGGGAATTTAAGAAAATGGTATAATTTTATATGAGTGCTACACTGTGGCATGCATCAAAAATAATTATTAATAATTATTACTGATTATGTTAAATATAGGAGTTCTGATGACATAGTACCTTAGGCAACTGACTGCTAACCAGAAGGCTGGCGGTTCAAAGCCACCACCCAGTGCTCGGAGAAAGAAGTTTGCGCGATCTACTTCTGTGTCGTTACCACCTCAGAAACCCAAGGACGGGTCACTATGAGTCGAATGAACTCGATGGCAGAGAGAGTTTGTGTTGTTTTGTTTTGTTTTTTAGGTTAAATATGATAGTGTACAAAGAACTGTTTCTATAGTGATTTTATGCATAGAGAAGCACAGTATATACTATGTCCAATATTTGATTGACATTAGATACACACCATGCTATTTCCACTTATGTACACATTAAAGTCTCAAAGGCAGATTTAGAAAGAGAACTCGTTTGTAATGCAGAATGCCTCTACTGCTATAAAACAAAAGGGAAATGATTTCTTGGAGAATTCCAGTGAAGAAGCACCGAAGAAATGGAATAGAAAAAGAACATTTAATAAACACCAGAATAATAATAACCACAAGTGCTACTTATCAATTAATGGAAAAATTAGGAAGCAAAACTACAAAGAATAGGAGAATATTTGTAGTCTCAAAATTGCCTTGTGAGAAATTAATCACAAGGGGCAAAATAGTTAGTTACTATAGGAAAGAAGGAAAGGGAATGTGGTAAAATTAAAAATAAAACAAATTAATAGGTTTTAATGAAATTCATGATAAGTATAATTAACTATATGTGAAGTAACAACAAGAAAAACATGAATGGGAAAGTACACTTGATCAAGGCTATATTCTCTTCACCCTTGTTTCTCACAGCCAAAGGCTTCTGAGAATGATAAATCTAGCTTGTATCAAGAAAATAATAAATACTGAAGAGTGCTGTACTCCAGGGAAGTAAAACAGTCATTCCTCCAAGGGCACAAAGCAATTTTAATGACTTTTCATTGAGTAAATATTGCTTTTCTTGTTTATGACAAACTTTCAAGTACAGAATGAAAGATACTTGCTCTTTGAAATGGTAACATTAAGGAGGAAACAGCCCACTTTTGACAGAGTAGTCTCCCCGCTGTGCGTTCCTGTGTGTTAAGTATGGTGTGTGGAACAACTCCAGGATTTCCCATATCCTTACATTCAGAAGGTCTCAGTCCACTGTGACTTTTGTTATATTCACAGGCATGGGGGATTACTAAAGGCTTTGCACCTTCCTAACATTCATAACATCACTAACCATTATCTCAATTTTTATATATTGCCGCTACTGTGATAAACCCCAAAAACTTTCCCAACATTCCTTAAATTCATAATGCCTCTCTCCCCTTCAAGAGATAACATATGTGAACTGAGGTTTGAGGCCTGAAAATAAGCATTCTCACATTACTTACATTCCTAAGTCCTCTCTCCCTTGTGACTTCCCAGATGTGAAGTGAGGTTAGAAGCCTGACAAAAGGCTCTCCCATACTTCTTATGTTCAGAAGGCTTTTCTCCAGTTTTTATGTGTTCTGGGAGGCAACAGGCACGACCACAGGATTGACAACATTCCTTACATTCATAGGGCCTCTCCCCACTGTGAATTCTTTTATTTACAGAGAGGTTTGATGGCAGACTAAATGCTTTCCCACATTTCTTACATTCATAGGGCCTCTGTCCACTGTGAATTATTTTATGTATAGAAAAGTATGACAACTGACTAAATTCTTTTCCACAATCCTTATATTCATAGGGCCTCCCGCCCTCCACAGTGAATTCTTTGATGTGTATACAGGTTGGAGGGTTGGTTAAATGATTTCCCACATTCCTTACATTCATAGGGCCTCTCTCCACTATGAATTCTTTTATGTATAGAGAGGACTGAGAGCCGACTAAATGCCTTTCCACATTCTTTACATTCATAGGGCCGCTCTCCAGTGTGAGTTCTCATATGGTTAGTAAGATATGTGGAATGTTTAAAGCCTTTCCCACATTCCTTACATTTATAAGGCTTCTCTCTCTTGTGAGTGATTCTATGTTTTGAGAGGACAGAGGAATGACTAAAGGCTTTCCCACATTCCTTACATTTATAAGGTCTCTGCCCACTGTGAGTTTTTATATGTTCAGTAAGGTAGGATGAACGAGCAAAGGCTTTTTCACATTTCATACATTTATAAGGTCTCTCTCCAGTATGAGTTCTTATATGTCGAGTTAGGTGTGAGGAATCTCGAAAGCCTTTCCCACATATCTTACACACAAAAGGCCTTTCTCCACTGTGAAAGCCCATATGTGAGGTGAGCTTCCAGGCCTGTGTAAAGCCTTTCCCACATTCCTTGCATTCATAGGGCCTCTCTCCAGTGTGAGTTCTCATGTGGTTAGTAAGATACGTGGAACGTTTGAAGCCTTTCCCACATTCCTTACATTCATAAGGCTTCTCTCTCTTGTGAGTGATTCTATGTTTGGAGAGGACTGAGGTATGACTAAAGGCTTTCCCACATTCATTACATTTATAAAGCCTCTGCCCACTGTGAGTTTTTATATGTTCAGTAAGGTAGGATGAACGGGAAAAGGATTTTTCACATTTCATACATTTATAAGGTCTCTCTCCAGTATGAGTTCTTGTATGTTGAGTTAGGTGTGAGGACTCCCGAAAGGCTTTCCCACATATCTTACATACAAAAGGCCTCTCTCCACTGTGAGAGCCCATATGTGAGGTGAGCTTCCAGGCCTGTGTAAAGCCTTTCCCACATTCCTTGCATTCATAGGGCCTCTCTCCACTGTGAATTCTTTTATGTCTAAAGAGGGTTGAGGACCGACTAAATGCCTTCCCACATTCCTTACATTCATAGGGCCTCTCTCCACTGTGAATCCTTTTATGTTTAGAAAGGTGTGCCAGCTGACTAAATGCTTTCCCACATTCTTTACATTCATAGGGCTTCTCTCCAGTGTGAATTCGTCTATGCGTAGTGAGGGTTGAGGACCGACTAAATGCTTTCCCACATTCCTTACATTCATAAGGCCTCTCACCACTATGAGTTCCCATATGTGATGTGAGGCACAAGGCCTTTGAAAAGCCTCTCCCACATACCTTACATTCATAAGGCTTCTCTCCACTGTGAGTTTGCATATGTACAGTGAGGTATGAGGCCTGTGTAAAGGCTTCCTCACACACCATACACACATAAGGCCTCTCGCCATTGTGTGTTTTTATGTGTAATGAGAGATAATAGGGATGAATAAAGCCTTCCCCACATTCCTTACATTCGTAGGACCTTTCTCCACTGTGCATTCTTTTATGTATAGAGAGGGCTGAGGGCTGACTAAATGCTTTTCCACATTCCTTACACTCATAGGGAGTCCCTCCACTGTGAATTCTTTTATGTCTATAGAGGTTGGAGGGATGAGTAAATGCTTTCCCACATTCCTTACATTCATATGGCCTCTCTCCACTGTGAATTCCTTTATGTATAGAGAGGTTTGAGAGCTGACTAAATGCTTTCCCACATTCCTTACATTCATAAGGCCTCCCTCCACTGTGAATTATTTTATGTCTATAGAGGTTTGAGAGCCGAGTAAAGGCTTTTCCACATTCCTTACATTCATAGGGCCTCTCTCCACTGTGAATTTGTCTATGTGTAGAGAGCGTTGAGAACAGGCTAAATTCTTTCCCACATTCCTTACATTCATAACCCTTACCTGTCTTGTGAAATTTTGGATGAAACGTCAGCGATGATGGATGATTACTGATTTTACAACATGCTTCACACTCACCTTTATGACCTCTCACATGTGTATAAAATGACGACATACTACAGAAATTCTTCCCACATTTCTTACGTTCATAGCGTTTCTCACCAGTGGATACTGTCACAGGAAACTTAAGGGTTGACATGCAAAAGTCCTTCCTGTATACATTAAACTTGTGGGGCTTCTTTCTCTTAAGAGTTTTCACAGGAGTGGTTTGGTGATAGAGACAACCGGAGGCTGCTGCACATTCCATACAGTGACAGATATTGCCTGTGGACTGCGATCTGGTGTCACACTCAGATGATGACTCATCCATGAAGGCAGTTCCCCACACAAAGTATTGAAAAGGACTGACTTCCAGAGGATTCCTCTGTACCACAGCAAGATCTGGAACACAGCTGAACATGTTCTCAGACTGACTTCCTTCTTTACTTTCAGAGAGGATCTTTCTAGTACTATTTCTGTTAAAGACAAGAAACATGCTATTGGAAATAAATTTGTTCCCATTTCATCATCATCAGACACACTGAATGTGCATGGTTTTTGCCCTGACTTATCATCATCCATTGGTCAATTTATCTAGTAGAAATATTACTATTATAGTTACTATTTTTATACAGTATTAGGGCTTTCTGGTAATTGGGTCAGTGTGAAGAATGTGCAAAATATTTGATATGTTACGTTTATGAAAATACTCCATTGTAAATAAAATAAGCAACATCAAACTACATTGATAAAACATTGAAACTGTCAAAGATTTCATATTACTTGGGCCCACAAGTAACAACAACGGAAGCAGCAGTCAAGAAATCAGATGAGGTATTGCCCTGGGCAAATCTCCTATACAAGACCTCTTCAAAGTGCTGAAAAGCAAAGACATCTCTTGATGACTAAGGTTCGCCTAATGGAAGCCGTATTATTTTTAATCAGGTCGTATGCGTGTGAAAGCTAGACAGGGAATAAGATAGATTAAAGAAGAGTTGTGGCAAAGTACGACAGACTTCCAGAAGAACAGTGATGTCTGCTCATGCACCATGCTCACAATCCTTTCTATACTTGAGCCCATCATTGCTGCCAATGTGTCAATCCATCTTCTTGAAGGTATTCCACACTTTGCTGACCCTCCAGCTTACCAAGCATGATGTACTTCTCCAGGAAATGGTCCCTTCTAAAAACATGACCTACATAGGTGAGATAACGTCTGGGCATTCTCGATTCCAATGAGCAAGGTATTTGCACTTCTTCCAGGACACATTGGTTCATTTTTCTGGGAGTTCATGGTATTTGCAGCATTGCCCACCAACATTATAATTCAAAAGAATCAACTCTCTTACAGTCTTCTTTATTCATTATCAAGCTTTCATACACATAAAAGGCAATTATAAACACCATGGCTTGGGTTGTTGTTGTTGTTGTTTGCCGTCGAGTCAGACCCGACTCATAGCGACCCCTCCTTGGGTTTCTGAGGCAGTATCATTACGAAAGTAGATTGCCCCATCTTCCTTCCGAGGAGTGGCTGGTGGGTTTAGTGACATCTTTGCACTTCCACACTTAAAGAGCTATTTTATAGCATATTTACCCAGTGCAATACAACATGAGATTTCTTTACTGCTGCTTCCATGGGGTGGACTGTGGAACCAATATGAAATATTTGACAGCCTCAATGCTTTTTTCATTTGTCATAATGCTACTTATTGCTCCAGTTCTCAAGATTTTTGTTTTATGTTGAGGTGTAATCCATACTGCAGACTGTAGTACTTAATCTTCATCAGTAAGTGCTTCAAGTCATCTTCACGTTCTGCAAGTAAGGTTGTGTCTAATGAGTCTTCCTCCAATCCTGATGTCATGTTTTACTTCACACGGTGCAGCATTTTGGATTATTAGCAGAAAATATAGATTGAATGAGTATGGTCAAAGGATACAACCCTGATGCAAACGCTTCCTGATTTCAAACCATGCAGTATCCCATTGCTATGATCAAATGACAGCTCCCTGGTCTATGTTGAGGGTACTCATAAGCACAATTAAGTGTTCAGGAATTCCAATTCTTCTCAATGTTACCCATAATTTTTTAGGATCCACACAAATACTTTAGCGTAGTAAATAAAACAATAAAAATCGTTCTGGTATTCTTTGCTTTTGACCAAAATCCATCTGGCATCAGCAGTGATATCATTCATTCCACATTCTCTTCTGATCCAGCTTGCATTTCTGGACATTCTCTGTCGATATACTGCTATAACTATTTTTAACTACATACAGCCAAATTTTACTTCTGTTTGATACTAATGATACTGGTGGATTATTTCGAAATTCTCTTGGATCATCTTTCTCAGGAATGGATACAAATGTGGATCTCTTCAAGTTGGTTGGCCAGGTAGCTTTCTTGCAAATTACTTGCTATACATGAATAAGTACCTCTAAACCAGGCCAATGGGTAATCCATCAATTCCTGTAGTCTTGTTTTTTGCAAAATTCTTGACTTGAGCTTTGAATACCAGTGCTGCTTCATCATATGTCACCTCCTGATGTATGATGGGTCATCAGGGATCAAATCTTTTTTTTACAGTGACTCTGTATATTCTTTCCATCTTCTCTTGATACTTCCTTCCTCAATCAATATTTTGCCAATAAAATCCCAGAGCACTGCAACTCCAGGCTTGAATTATGTCATCAGTTCTTTCAGCTTGAGAAATGTCAAGCAGGTCTTTGTGCATTTCATTTTAATAAGTGCCTGTGTCTTCTCTTGCACATCTATGAAATCTTCTCTTCAGGACTTTTATCTTGTCATTTCTTCCATTTGCTTTAGCCACTGTCTGTTCATGAGCAACTTTGAGTCTCATGGCATGCATTTTTTATTTTCCTGTCTTTTTAATTACTTTTTGCTTTCTTTCTTGTCTGATGTTCTTGATGTCCTCCAACAAGTCAACTGGTTTTCAGGCATTCGTATTCAATGTGTCAAATTGATTCTTCAGATGGTCTCTAAATTCAGGTGGGATATAATCAGGGTCATATTTGGTATCTTTTGGTCTCGTTTGAATTTTCTTCAGCTTCAAGGTGAACTTGCATATGAGTATTTGATGTTTTGTTCCACAGTTAGCTCCTGTCTGTGTTTTGCCTGAAGACACTGAGCTTCTACATCACCCCCTTCCACACAGGTAGTCAATCTGATTCCTGTGCATTCCATCTGATGACATCCACGTGTACAGCCACAGTTTAATGTTGTTGAGAAAAGGTATAAGCGATGAAGAACTTGTTGGTCTTACAAATTTCTTTCATGCTATCTGTAGCATCATATTTTCCAACTACTAATGATTCTTTTGTTTCTAACTTATACATTCCAATCACTAGTAATAATCAACATATCTTGATTGCATGTTTGGTGAATTTCACAAAGCACAAGTTGTTGAAAATCCTCTACTTCAACTTTGGCATTAGTTATTGGTGTGTAAATTTGAACAGTAGTAGAAGTATCTGCTTTTCCTTTTAGGAATATGGATATTCTCCTATCAATGACAGCACTGTACTTTAGGATAGGTCTTGAAACATTCTTTGTGACAATGAATGCCACACCATACCTCTTTAATTTGTCATTCCTGGTATAGTAGATCATATGACTGTCTGACTCAAAACGGCCAGTACCAGTCCATTTCAGCTCACTAATTCCCACGATATGTATCTTTATGCATTGAAGATAATTTCTGACAACTTCAATTTTCCTACATTCATACTATATACAACTTATGTTCTGATGATTAATGGATATTTCTAAATGTTTCTTCCCATTTTGAGTCATGCTGCATCAGTAAATGAAGGCTCTGAGAGCTTTCATCTATCCATGTCATAAAGGTCGACTCTATTTTGAGGAAGCAGCTTTGCTACAATCTTATTTTGAGGGTCTTTGGACCTCTCATCTTCAGATACTATATCAGATAATGGCTCAGGGATATTCAGAAGGTTTTCCAGTAGTATATAAAACAGTGTGTCACTGCTATGCATAAGGTTTTCACTGAACAATTCTTTGAGAAGTGGATGGCCCCTTCCTTCTTCCCAGTCTGTCTTAGAAACTCCACTGAAACCTGTTCACCATGGGTGACCATGCTGGTATGTGAAATACCAGTGGCACTGTCTACAACCTCACAGCAATAAGCAAACCACCACAGTACGATGAACTGACAGACAAATAGTGGCAGTGCTTCTTACTGGGGTCAAAAATCTGAGTGGAAACATTTTGTTCCTAGGCAACACAAATGCTGCCCTTGTTTAGGTTGGCAATTACTGAACAGCTACAAAGTGCTTCAAAGTCCAGTGAAATGTATACAAATACAAATGTGTGTATTTTAATTTCATGACACTTCATGGTCTACTCTGTCAGTCCATCTTCTCTTATTTGAAAAACACTCACCTCAAACATCTCCAATGGTTTTTATGCTGATCTTCTTGGACAATCAAATTGGAGATCTCTCCTAACACCGAGGACCAGGTGTTATTCTTCATCAATCGCAACATTACATGGTCACTGCACAACTTCTCTCCATCAGTAAAAGAGACTGACCAAAAATTCAAGTAAAGTTCCATAGCATGAAACAAGAAGAGAAAGGATCGGGGGGGAAAAAGGCTGCTGCGAAGAAGGGAAGATTTATCACATTTCACTATCTCACCACTCTGGCAATAGATAAAAAAAACTCAATAGGAAATACTTCTATGAGGACTGAGAATAATGGTAACAAAAATGGGGGTAATTAGGAAAGCAAAGTAGAAAAATAATGGACACAATACACATGTAACATGACAGAAGGAAAAGGCCAGCATGACCACAAGTGACGGAAGATGGCCAAATCTGAAAAGTATCCTCAGGTATCTGTGAATTTGGGTCCTCAGCCCAGAAGAGACTTCTAGCTGAGTGACTGCAATGGAATTCCCTCCCTGGAGAGCTGTTCCTTTGAAAAGTTA